TTGGATAGCTTCTTCTAGAACCAGTCAATGAATGCCAGTTCCCACTTTCCAGGTGAGGAACCTGAGGTTCAAAAGAGGAAGTGACCTGCCCCAGCCAGCCTGAGGAAGGCAGTGTCACATCAATGCCAGAGCCCAGGACTCCACACCCCACCTGAGCCTCTACCTGGACTCCCGGCTGGACTCACCTTCCTTCTCCTCTCCAGGACACAGCCTGGAACCCCTGGGTTGGTGACGGAGAGGGTGAACTTGCCACCCTGACCAGTGAAGAGAACAGTTCTGTGGGATTCAGAGATGTGAATCTGGGTCTACCACCCACATCACCCTCCCTCCCTCCTCCCAGTGCAAAACTCCATACTCATTAAATGCGAACTCCCCAGCCCCGTTAGGTAGCCACCTTCCATTCTCCGACTCTGACTACCTAGGTCCCTGGAGCAAGAGGACTCAGTGTTTGTCTTCTGTGCCTGGCTTTTTCTCATCCAGTATAACGTCTTCAAGGTTCACCACGTTGTAGCACGGGCCAGGATTTCCTACCTTTTTAGGGCTGAAATGCACACACCACCTGTTACTCATGTGTCCATTCACCAGGGGACATTCGGATTGTTTCCTCTGCCTTTGGCTATTCCAAACACTGCTGCTCTGAACTTGGACGTGCACAGATCTCTTCAAGTTCCCCCACTTTGAGTTCTTTGGGGTATATGCCCAGGGTTGGAATCGCTGGATCTTTGGGGGGGAGTGCTGCGTTCAGTTATTTGAGGGGCCAACCTACTGTGTTCCATAGCAGCTGTACCTTTTTACATCCCTACCCACCATGCACTTGGGGTTTTCTGTGTTTGTCTTTCACTTCTATATTCTGGTGCTGAGAGGAAGGGAGTGCAGGCAGGTACAACCCAACTCCGATAAAATAGGGAAAACGAAGCCACCCTGAAAACGTGTCCTATCAGGTCTGGGAAATTCCCCGGGCAGTCACCAGGTCTGAAGTCTGCTGTTTGCTGGTGGTGAGTGTGTGGACGTGTGGGCAGGGGCGGGACAGGGTGATGGTTCTCAGCTTCCTCTTTTCTAGGAAGCAGTTAGTTAAATCTGGTAACCAAAGTCAGAAATATTCAAGTCTTCAGAGCCAAGAAGAAGCATTCACTACAGTGAGGTTAAAGCACTGCCTGCGTTCATTTTGGAGCAAAA